CTGCCTCTACCTCCTGAGTGCTGGGATTAATTAAAGATGGTGCACCACCACCGCCTGGCTTGTTTGTTTTTTGAGACAAGGTCTCATTATATAGCCATTGGTGACACACTCCTTTAATCCCAGCACTGGGGGAGTGGGAACAGAGGCAGGTGGATCTCTATGAGTTCAAAGCCAGTCTGGCTTCACAGAGGAACCCTGTCTCTGGGAGAAAATAAATTAAATAAAACAAACAAACAAAAGATAGTCCAGGCTGGCTTGGAATCCAGAGAGATCCTCTTGCCTCTGGCTCATCTCTGAGGATTTGGGATTAAGGTATGTGCTACAACACCTGGCTCTCTTTTGACCTGATTTAGCAGCATTTTAGTGGTTCCCTTAGTTGCCTTACCTGCTCACCCTCATAGTTAGTGGTGCCTGGAGGGTGGGCTACTGAGAGCAGTGAGCAGGCTATCCTTCTCTCTGTAGGGAGGCATGTGCTCCGTGTACCTGAAAGACAGTGAGAAGGTGGTCAGCATTTCCAGTGAGCACCTGGAGCCCATCACCCCCACCAAGAACAACAAGGTAGGGTGGGGCCTTTGGGAGGGTACAGGGAGGGGGGCATGGCAGCTGCTGGGGGACCTGACACTTACTGTTGCCTCCAGGTGAAAGTGATTCTGGGTGAGGACCGAGAGGCCACTGGGGTCCTACTGAGTATTGATGGTGAGGATGGCATCATCCGAATGGACCTAGAAGACCAGCAGATTAAGATCCTGAACCTCCGCTTCCTAGGGAAGCTCCTGGAGGCCTGAAGCCCAAGTGTGCAGTGAAAGCATGGAGCAAGCAGCCCACCCTCTGGCCTTGCTTGGCCCAGCATGGAACCCTGAGTCTGGAGCAAGCCAGGGTGATCATTCTGTATTTTCTTTTCCTCCTTCCCCAATACTCTATACATCAGAGTAGAGTCTGAGAAAGGTTCCCAACTTCTTTCTGCTGCCCCAGCTTGCTTCAGGTCTTTCAATAAAGAGAAGCTAGCTGTTTGAAAAGTGTGTGTGTTTGTGGGAAGGGTTGTCTTGTTTAAGTGTGGTTATTAAGTTAGGGCAAATAGCTGGATTCCAAGTCTCAGTTTCCCCATCTAGGAAATAATGCCTCTAGGACTCCAAAGGGCTTTTGAGAGGATGTAGAAGACAGGAGAAAGAGGATTAGAGCTGGGCCCTGTGGTTCAGGCCTGTCATCCAAGCTACTCAGAAGATTGGGGGAGGAGGGTCACAAAATCACGGCCTATGTGGGTAAAGGTCCCATTAAGGACAACAGGTCCCCTTAGTGTAGCTGTTCTCAATCTGTGGTCCTGACCCTTTTGGGAGTGAGGGTTGAACAACCTATTCACAGGGGTCACACATATCAGATACCCTGCATATCAGATATTTACATTATGATTCATAACCAACAAAAGGACAGTTATGAAGTAGCACTGAAAATAATTTTATGGTTGGGGGATCATCACAACATGAGGAACTGTATTAAAGGTTACAGCATTAGGAAGGTTGAGAACCACTGCTTTGGTGGTAGGGGGACCCTCTATCTCAAAAAGTAAAAGAGCCGCATGGTGGTGGCTCATACCTTTAATCCCAGCACTAAGGAGGCAGATCTCTGAATTTGAGGCCAACACAACTCCAAAGCCACACAGAAACCGTCTTTAAAAAAAAAAAAAAAAAAAAAAAAGGTAAAAGGAAAAGAGCAGGACATGGTGGTGCACATCTTTGATCCCAGAACTCAGGAGGCAAGTCTCTGTGATTTCAAGGCCATCCTGGTCTACATAGTGAGTTCCAGGACAGTCAGAGCTACATAGTAAGACCCTGGGTGTGGGGTGGAGACCACAGGACACAGCTTAGTGAAGAGTGCTTACAAAGTAGGTGTGACACTATGGGTTTAACCCCTGATATAAAAATTAAAACCTAATTATAAGAATGGAGTTTGGGGGGGCTGGAGAGATGGCTCAGTGGTTAAGAGCACTGACTGCTCTTCCAAAGGTCCTGAGTTCAATTCCCAGCAACCACATGGTGGCTCACAACCATCTGTAATGAGGTCTGGTGCCCTCTTCTGGCCTGTAGACATACACACAGAAAGAATATTGTATATATAATAAATAAATAAATATTTAAAAAAAAAAAAAAGAATGGAGTTTGGACTGTTCAAAACTTACTCGACCTATGGTGCAGCCCTGTGAAATGTGAGAGAACAAGATTCAGATCTGGGAAAAGAATCTTTCTGGCTGTTGGAGCCTGTGGTTGCAAAGTACTCTGATGACAGGTTGCTCCAGCCAGAAGAGCCACCAACTGACAGTCAAGATAGTACACCCAGAGCCAGCCAGATGGCTCAGATGGGAAAAATACTTTGCCACCAAATATGGTGGCCTGAATTGAGTTCAATCTTTTTTTTTTTTCTTTATTTTTTTTGAGCAAGGTTTCTCTGTGTAGCCCTGGCTGTCCTGGAACTAGCTCTTGTAGGCCAGGCTGACCTTGAACTCACTGAGATCTGCCTACCTCTGCCACCACAGGGCTGGCTGTGGCTCTGAGTTCAATCTTGAGACTCCAAGAGGAAAGGGGATAACTGAGTCCTGCAGGTTGTCCTCTCACCTCCACAGGCATGCTGGGGGTCCTCTCCCTAAGTAAATAAACTTAAGATACAACACCTGGTCAGGAGACAGGGAATGCCAGACTGATCCCCAGGAAGTACCTTAGTGAAACTTGGGTGGAGTCCGGAGAGGGAAGGTGGGCCTACTATTGAGGTAATTTGTATCCAGTGTACAGCCCTCAAGTACCAGAAGCAATTGAAGGACATCCAGGAGTCTAACGGCAGAGATGAAACAATACTAACTTACACTGGATATGTAATTCAAATTATCCTGAGTTTTGTGATTGCCTTAAGACAGCTTGCCATATGACTGATAAAGTACATCCTGGGGCTGGCTAAGTGAAGATCTACTTTGTTCCCCAGGGACTCTTCCTTCCTCCTGTGCTGCCAGCACTTGACTACTGAGCTGTCTCCAGCCCTCTAGTCTTATTTTGAATGCTGAGAGCAGTGAGCCCAGGATTGCTCCTGCAACTCTGATAACTTAGGGACTGGAATGAGTACCCTAACAGAATTAGACTTTGTACCTTACTCCTTCCAATATTTGATAGGCCCAAGTTTTTGAGACAGGGTTTCTCTGTAGCTTTGGAGCCTGTCCTAGAATTAGCTCTTGTAGACCAGGCTGGCCTTAAACTCACAGAGATCCGCCTGCCTCTGCCTCACCGCCCAGCTTATAAAGACTTTTGTGAACCATATTATAAAATATTTCAGGGAGCTGGAGAGATGGCTCAGAGGTTAAGAGCATTCTGGCTGTTCCTCTAGAGGTCCTGAGTTCAGTTCCCAGCAACCACATAATGGCTTACAACCATCTGTAATGAGATCTGATGCCCTCTTTTGGAGTGCAGGCACACATGCACACAGAATACTGTATACATAATAAATCTTTCATAAAAAAATTTCAGAGCTGGGCGGTGGCGGTGCATGCCTTTAATCCCAGTACTCAGAAGGCAGAGGCAGGTGGATCTCTGTGAGTTCAAGGCCAGCCTGGTCTACAAGAACTAGTTCCAGGACAGGTTCCAAAGCTACAGAGAAACCCTGCCTTCAAAAACCAAAAAACAAAACAAAACAAAAATTCAGGTATTAAAGACATGCCATTTGGTCAGGGTATATGGTAGTACATACCTCATCCCCAGCCTGAGCTACATGAGACCCTGTCTCAAAAAGCAAACAAAAACAAAAAGCTGGCGAGATTTGTCTGTGGGTAAAGGCACTTGGACTCCTACAATGGAATAAGAGATTCCTGCAAGCTATCTGACCACCCCTACTAGGAAGGTGGCCCATATACCTTTAATCCCAGCACTAAGGGAGTAAGAGACAGGTGGATCTCTATGAGCTCTAGCCAGTCTAGTCCAGGCCAGCTAGGACTACACAGACCCTTATTCAAAATAAAACTAAATTTAAAAATTAAGATATTGATGTATTCTTAAAAAAGTAAAAATTAAGATATATAATGAAGACCTATGTCCTCTCCACACAGGTACAGTATGTAAGGCCAGTGAGAACTCACCAGGTCAAGGCAGTGTCCTAAGCACTGACTTTGGAGACATTTCCTTCAAGTCAACCAGGAGGGAGACAGCCTGAGTTCAAATGAACCAAATGACCCAAGTTTGATTTTCCAGAACCACATGATGGATGGAAGAGAAGCAACTCTTGAAAACTGTCTTCCGTCCTCTGCGCCCTACGGCACAAGGGCACACACAATCAAAACACACGTGTAATTTAGCAGAACCTCAATCCATTTCTTCCCACCCCAGAAATAACCATTTCTCTAAATTCTGTGTAACTTTCCTTTGCCCGTCTTTGTATTTTTTACTATCTTAGTACGTTGTGGTTTTGTTTTGTTTTAAGTTTAAATGTAAAAATCTGGCTTTTTAAAAACGACTTGAGAAACACTCATTGCGGCTTTCCTGTACCTCAAATTCACTGATTTCTTATTAAGCCTCGACCAGTCAGCATGCACTGTTCTGGGTGAATGAATCCGAATGAGTGGTAGGATTTCCAGTCCTTTCTAGAAACTCATGGTGGTAGGAGTAAAGAGGAATCTGAGGACGCAAGAGAACAAAAACACCGGTCCGGGTTTTGATCCACGTGAAAAAAAGTGAGGGCTGCCGATTCATCTCGCTTTTTGAGCCTCGGTCCATCTCTGACGATGAGAGGCGAACGCCTATTTCCGAGCGACTGGATGGTGGCGGTCCTTAAGGCACCAGGGGGCGTGGTGCCTGGTGACTGAATTCCGATTTAGTGCGCCCGAGGACAGTCTGAAGCGCAGTCAGCAAGAGAACGTCCAAGGCACTCCGCACACACCTTTGTGTCCCTCTCGGATTCCCGTCCACACGCCTTATCTCAGCGATTCCATTGGTCGCAGTCCCTGACAGGGGCGGGAGAGAGCGAGCAGGTGGGCGGGGCCTCTCAGCGTCAGCGCAAGATGGCGGCCTCGGCGGCGCTGTTCTCGCGCTTGCGGAGCGGGCTCCGGGTAGGCGCGCGGGGACTGTGCACGCGGCTGGCGACGCCGCCTCCCCGCACCCCAGAGCAGGTGAGCGGCACCGGGATCGGCGCCCATTTCGGGGATCCTCCCTAAGTCTTGGGTGTTATGGTCGCACCCCGGCGACTCTAGAGTACCGCACCTCAGGGTGCTGAATGGGACGGAGCCCGTGTTTTGGGATGCTCCCGTGCCTCCCGTGTGGACCACACTTGCTCCCCCGGGGCCGGAGTGTGGTGGTCTCAAGTGCATCCTCTGAAGCCCATGTCTTAGCCACGTGGGTGCTGGGCGAGGTCACCTGTTCCTGGTGTCAGTGAACACTCAGGTGATCCTCGACGGGGGAGGGGCCCGGGACGCCTTTGGGACATTTCGTTCGCATCGGTGGTGGTGAGCGAGGGAGTCTGGAGGGAGCCAGCTTGCCTTCCGTTTCGACCTAGCCATTCTGACCTCTAGGTTCATCATCACTTGCCGTTCCGTAAGCCTCGCCCCTCCTGCTTTCTTCTCTTGCCTACCCCTCCATCTCGGGCCCTGGTGTCCGAATGTCTTAACTCTCCCTCGTGTGCCCTCTGTCCCCGTAGTTTTGCTCTCCCCACCATCCCTTATTCTCCTTGCCCTATTCTTCCTGGCTCCAGCCCCAGCAGTCCTGTTGCTTCCAGGATCTTGGGCAATCCGGTTTGTCATCTCTTGAACCCCTGTGATCCTCTAAACAGTTTTGTTTTGACCCTCTGAGGGGACCAACCTTTCAACTTATTCGTCCAGGAACACAATTTTCTGGGGCTCTGTGGGTGTTCATTTCCTGGCCCTTGATCTTGAGTCTACTTGGACCAAATTAGAGGTCAGAGTATCCTGCAGTTTTTCTCTAGTTGACCTCGCCTTCTTCCCCTCCACTCAGGTTGCTGAGATCGCCAGTCGTGGAGGCTCGAAGGCCCAGGGGCCACAGCATCAGCCTGGCTCAGAAGGTCCCAGCTATGCCAAAAAAGTTGCTCTCTGGCTTGCTGGTTTGCTTGGGGCCGGTGGAACTGTCAGCATCGTCTATATTTTTGGTGAGAGACATAACCCTGGCTTGGTGGCCCCCAGATTTCTACTGTGAAACCTCCCCTTCTTTCCTCAAACTATGATCATCCCCTGGCTCCTACCTCAACAGAGCTATCAACTTCGATACTGACCTTGAAACATAACAAGTCCCCTTCTACCCCTTGTACCTAAAGTTCTATCCTCTAGTTGGTTCCTGTACCTAAATTCAGGAACTAGGGGACTATGGGACAGTAGGGCTGGCCCAGTGCCTGAAGCTATGTCTCATGTCTCTCCTTTTGCAGCAAAAGCTTAACCTTCCCTTGTGTGTGCATCTCAGCCTCAGACAACATTCTCTTTTTCTTTTCTTTATTTATTTCCTTTTTTTTTTGTTTTGTTTTTCAAGACAGGGTTTCTCTGTGTAATAGCCCTGGGAACTCCCTCTGTAGTCCAGGCTGGCCACAAAGTCACAGAGATCCACCTCCCAGGTGCTAGGATTAAAGGCTTGTGCCACCATGCCCAGCTAACCCACTTTCTCTCAAATATCTTGGACTCCTGGCCCCTCCAGCCTCTTCCTCCCTTGACCCAGGAGCTGTGCCTCTAGCAGTATTCTATCTGAGTGGGGAGTCCAAAGCCCTCATTCTCCTACACCTTCCAGACCCAGCAGGCTAGACTTCAGTTTCTCTCAACCATCTCTCTCCCTTGCAGGAAACAACCCTGTGGATGAAAATGGTACCAAGGTGAGGGGAGTAAGATCCAGAGGTCTAGAGCCTGTTCTAGCGGGTGGGCTGCTTGTGGTTGGTTTAGGCTCCTTTTAGTCTGAAGTGAGCCTCTCTCTCCCTCCCTGGGACCTTTGCCTACTCAGCCTGGACCCCCTTAAGTGGATGTACTGAGGTCCTATCTCTGTCATTTCAAATCTTTCTTTTTCTCTCCCAGATTCCTGATGAATTCGACAATGGTGAGTGAGTAAACACAGACTTGAATTCCCTGATGTCCGTCTCTGCTGTTGTTAGAGTGCTGTTCCCCTGTTCTGCACCCCAACCCCTCCTCCTTCCACGGAGGTGCAACAATTAGATGGCTTGGGGGAGGGACAGAACAAAAGCCCCTCAGCCCTGGAGCAGATGGTCAGGAACAGATGGGGGCAGGGAGCCTCAGTGCTCCCTCCCAGACACAAGGCTTCCTGGGCCTTAGATCTTAGCATCTGCAGCCCCTGACCTCTTATGATAGACTCTTTGTTTTTTTAAATCCTTATATTCAACCCATGCATCATTTCTGAAACAATGTCTCTCAGTGTCTGTGTCTCCCGCTTCTCCAAACACACCTCAGGTTCAGCAGAGTTTGGTAAGGAACATCTGGTAAGTTAGACAGTAGGGCAGTTGTGGATTTTAGCTGACCCTTCCTGAGAGAAGGTGAGGCTGGTGGGTCCAGAAAGCCCCTGTGTGAGGGAGGTGTGCAAGTGGCGTGTACGAGCACTGATTGTTTCGCTGGTTCACACCAGGCAGGTGAGTGAGTCTACTCTTTTAACTGGACCGATGTCAAATCCCTGCTTGTTTTGTTTTCTTATTTATTTGGTTTCGAGACAGGGTTTCTCTGTGTAGTCCTGGCTGTCCTGAACTCACTCTGTAGACCAGGTTAGCCTCACTCACAGAGATCCCTTGTCTCTGCCTTTCAAGTGCTAGGATTAAAGTTGTACCCCACCATCCCCTACTCCCCATTGGTTTAAGCAAGTTATTTAAATTGCCCAGGTAGACATGGGAGGTTGACATGCTTCACTGGTTTATAGTGGCTTCAACACTGAGACTCTTAAGAGGCAAGCTCAAAGATAGAGCTAAATTAGAAACACCACAGTAGGGTATTTCCATTGCAGTCAAATGTTCATTTGGCCAAGTGTTCACCTTGCCTGTTTTGATGCTGATGGTTTGTATTAGAACAACGGGTTCTGGGGTTGGAGGACTGGTCTAGGCAAGGGCTCTCCCTCTCATCTGTATCCCCAGCATGTTTTTATTTTATTTTATTTTTTTATTTTTTTTTTTTTCTTCAAGACAGGGTTTCTCTGTGTAGCCCTGGCTGTCCTGGAACTCGCTCTGTAGATCAGGCTGGCTTCAAACTTACAGATATCCTCCTGCCTCTGCCTCCTGAATGCTGGGATTAAAGGTGTGTGTCACCACCACCCAGCATGGTATTATTTTTAAATTATGTGTATGTATGTGTGTCTGTGAGGTGTCCTCCAAGGCTAAATAAGAGCTTTGGAGCCTTTGGGGCTGCAGTAACAGGTGTTTGTCGCCCTCCTGATGTGCCAGGGTCCCAGTTCAAGTGCACTGCAAGAGCAGTGGGGCCCCAGCTGCTGGGCAGCTCTCCAGCCTGATGACATTGACACACACCCCCTTCCTTTGTTTTTTTTGTTTTAGTTTTTTTTTTTTTTTAGGATATAAACAGAGACTGTGCTTTTGTTTCCCGGCCACCCCAATAATCACACAGAAACTATGTTAATTACAATATTGTTTGGCCAATGTCTCAGGCATATTCCTAGCTAACTCTTTCATCTTAAATTAACTCATTTCTATTAGTCTATGAATTGCCAAGAGGCTGTCTTACCAGTAATGTTCTGTCTCCTAGGCTCCACCTACTCTCTGTGTGTCTCTGTTCGGATTTCCCGCCTGGCTTTACTCTGCTAAACTATTGGCTGAAATAGCTTTATTCATCAACCAATAAAACCAACACATATGTCGAAGGACATGCCAGATCAACAGGGTCTTACAAATTGCCTATTCTGACTTCAAGCTCACTGTGTAGTACTGGCTGCCCCTGAACTTGTAAATTCTCCTGCCTTAACCTTCCGAGTAGTGGGGATACAGGCCTGTGCTACTGCAACCCAGCCCTGTTTGCACTTCAGACTAGGTAGTTGTAGTCTGTTCAGTGCATTGTGAAATGTGTTAATAGTGTTCTGGGCATCTGCTCATAGACCCTAGATTATGACCATTAAAAATATCTCATGGCTGGGCAGTGGTGCCACTGGCCTTTAACCCCAGCACTCAGGAGGTAGAGGCAGGTGGATCTCTGAGTTCAAGGCCAGCCTGGTCTACAGAGTGAGTTCTAGGACAGCCAGGGCTACACAGAGAACCCTGTCTCAGAAAACGAAACAACACAAAATATCTCCATGAAACTTTAAATCCTAGCACTTGGGAGACAAAGGCAAGAGGCTCTCTTTAAGCTCAGGACCAGCCAGGGCTACATATTGAAACAATGTGCACACACAAATGTTAAAAACAAGAATTTCAGCATTTTCCAAATGTCTGTGCAGGAGGGCTTTGTGGTTTTTAATGTCTGATAGGTAGACATTCTGTTTTATACCTGGCGTGCTATGGAGATAGAAGTCTTCACAGTAAAGCTGGGCAGGAGCAATACCTGCCTGATGTGGTGGTGTTTGTTGTCTTCTACATTAGACAAAGCGTGTGTGTGTGCAAACTTGTTCAGGTCTAGTAGACTGTAAGTGTGCTTAGAACTGGGCTTGCTGATGCAGGCCAGTAATCTCGGTACTAGGGAAGTAGAGGCAGGGGGATCGGAAGTTCAAGACAAACCTGGGCCACATGAAGCTTATCTCGAAAGAAACAGTAACATACATATTCTTCCCTTAAAATTCTCCCTTTTGGGAGTTCTTTCCTACTTTTCCTTAAGAAATCTATGTTTGTTCTGCAAGTAAAGAAGTGATAAACTGACCTGTTTGGGAGGTGGAGCAGTGGCTTACTTTGAAATCCCTTTGTGCCTGGTGTTCTAGATCCAATTCTGGTTCAGCAGTTGCGCCGGACATACAAATATTTCAAAGATTACAGACAGGTGAGTGGGGGGTGGTATGCGTGCTGGTCTCAGCCCCCATTCCCCCATGTCCAGCTCTGTTTCTGAATGTTAGTGGCCCATTCTGTCCTGCAGATGATCATTGAGCCCACCAGCCCCTGCCTTCTCCCAGACCCTCTACGGGAACCTTACTATCAGCCACCCTATACACTGGTCCTGGAGCTCACCGGGGTCCTCCTGCATCCGGAGTGGTCGGTGTGTCCTGTGGAAGACAGCGGGTCGGATTCCACTTGGGAAGCTGGGTTGGGAGTGGTGGGGTCAGTCTCACTCTGCTGTGTTTCTTCTGCTGCCTTTGCGTCCTTTGGTACCTGCTTTAGGTTGTCAAAGATGAGTCTGCCTTGGCTCAGAGTAGATGTGCCATGTGAGTGAGGCCCAGCTACATGCCCCCACAGGCCCAGGAGCAGAGAGAAACCTGCTTAGGGACCCTCAGGCTGGGTCTTGACCATTGGAGCTTTCTGGTCTCAATGCTCCCCATCCTCACTGTCTAGTTGGCCACCGGCTGGAGGTTTAAGAAGCGCCCAGGCATCGAGACCTTGTTCCAACAGCTTGCCCCTCTGTATGAAATCGTCATCTTCACGTCAGAGACTGGCATGGTGAGGCTCTGAGCCAGAAGTGACAGGTGGGTGAGACGCAGGGGCCTGGGACCCAGCCTCACCTTCCCTCCGTCCTTGCAGACTGCATTTCCACTCATTGATAGTGTGGACCCCCACGGCTTCATCTCCTACCGTCTGTTCCGGGACGCCACCAGATACATGGAAGGACACCATGTGAAGGTGCCATGTGGGGGTCACGGCGGGCCTCTGGGATGGATCTGGGGGTGATTATACTGCTGAAAGAACGGGGCCTTGCCCCTTCTGATGTCAGTGCTTGCCTTCTGCTTGGGTGAGGGGTAGGGCCACAAACTTTGTTTTGGGAGCTGTAGATGGCTTCTAAGAGGCTGTGCTCGGGACTGTCCCAGAATCCCTTCCTTCCACCAGCCGTGCATCTAAACACGCTGAGGCCCCTAGTAACTGTGTATTGTTAGGTCCACCAGCCATGCATCTAAATGCGCCGACCAGGCCCTAGTAACTGTGTATTGTTAGGTTCTCTCCTGTATCGGTGACTCAAGGGTTTGTGTTATTGCATGGCAGAACTCAGACTTTGACAAGGGCCTTTCTAATTCCTGGGTTGTAATTGGTCTAGTTGTAGCCTGTCACAGACTTGGGGAGACATTGAACCCACCAGAACCCATGTTCTCTCCAGACCCCTGGCTTAGGTGTTCATGTGACCAGCTCCCCAGTTTCCCAGAAGCCTGAGGTCACCTACCATAGCCTGTATTCAGGAGACTTGCAAGCCATGCCAACCCCAAGTGTATGATGCTGTGTCTGTCCCTCTGCAATTGGCAGGAGGGAGGGCCCTAGTGACCCTGACCTGTCACACCTACTTCCAGGACATCTCCTGTCTGAATCGCGACCCAGCCCGAGTAGTAGTCGTGGACTGCAAGAAAGAGGCCTTCCGGCTACAACCCTTCAATGGTGTTGCCCTGCGGCCCTGGGATGGCAACTCTGATGACCGGGTCCTGCTGGACCTATCTGCCTTCCTCAAGAGTGAGACTGACCCCTGGTGTCCTATCCAGAACCCTTGACCCTGCAAACAATGGCAGACACTTGCTTCTGGCTTGTCCTTAGTGTCAAACCGAGCTATCAGGGTGGAGGAGACCTGAGTATCCTGGAGTCTTCTGGACCTTTCTGGAATACCCAGATATTCCTCTTAGGCTATTTGGGCATGATTGGAGCAGCCCTCTCAGCGCATGGGACAGTGCGGACAGCATTCCAGGGCATGCTGACCCTCACTCTGGGTCGTGCTGAGCCTAACTAACCAGTACCCCTTTACCTGTTGTGCCTACAGCCATTGCACTGAACCAAGTGGAGGATGTCCGGACTGTACTGGAGCACTATGCCCTAGAGGATGATCCACTGGAGGCATTCAAACAACGGCAGAGCCGGCTCGAGCAGGTTAGTCTCCAATCCCCACCGGTCACTTTTGAGACCCCCCAAAAGAGGGGGGTGCCCTGGAGCTGCCTCTGTCCGCTGGATGCCGTATGAACTTGAGCACTGTCTTGACTGGGCTCAGCCTCGGACCCGGGCTCACACAGCTTGTCCTGCAGGGCTGTTCTAATGGTTTTACAGCCTGGGCCAGAGCAAGAGACAGGAAATAGTCGGCGCTTGAGATAAGTCCTCCATGGCCTTTCGTGGTGGACTGTGGTTTAGAGCTAGTCCACAAGGATGTGCGCTTGCTTGGCTTCAGAGTCCGGGGAAAGAGTGTTTCATTGGCTTTGGTTTTGAGACGCTATCTCATATATAGTCAGGCTGGCCTTAAACTCTCAGTGCTCCTGCCTCAGTCTTCTGAATGCTGGGTTTACAGGTGTAGTTTCACCACGTCTGACAGTGTTGGCTGGTAACATTTGACTTTTCAATTGTTTTTCACTGTGCTAGGGATAGAAAAGTACCTCTTGCATGCTAGTCCTGCACCCCTGGGGCTTGGAACTGCTCTTACCAGGGTCCAATGTTCTATATTGGGCCCAAGTCTAAAGGAAGGCAGGCTTCTGTATCGATGCTGACTCCTGTCTTTTTTTCTGTCCCCCAACCCCAGGAGGAGCAGCAGCGCCTGGCCGAGCTCTCCAAATCCAACAAGCAGAGCCTCTTCTTCGGCTCACTCACCAGCCGCCTGTGGCCTCGTTCCAAGCAGCCCTGACTGCTAGACCTCCTCAGACTCAGTGTCTGGGCCTCAGGCCCCAGTCCTCACAGAGCAAGGCTTGGACAGCCACGTGTCCAATAAAGTGCATCCCAGACGCCACAATGCCTGTGTCCAGAGAGTCCAGATGGGGCGTTGGGGTGAGGTCCGGGACTCGGGTCATCATCCACAATGACTGACTGCCACCTCCAGGCATAGCGAGTGCCTTGTTGATTCGGGGCTTGTGCCAGCCTGAGAAGCTGAAGGCCTGAATTTCTGCCGTGCCATGTCTTCCCATTCACTGTATGAGCTGCAAAGAAAGCATCTCTCTGGCTCTGGAGTCCTTGTGTGCTATGGAAATAAAGAGAAGTGTGGCTCTGGAGAACCAGAAGCAGCCGCTTGGCCTAGCCGCTGCCAGTGGCTCCTTGGGAAGGTGGTCCTGGAGCTGCTTGATCTCCACAGGTCATAGAAGCCAGAAGCAGGATCACTTTTTTCTTTTTCTTTGTTTTGAATACGAGGTCTCACTGTTTAGACCTGGCTGGTATTGATCTCCGATCTGCCTGCCGCTGCTTCCAGGTGCTGAGATTAAAGGTGTTCACCATTATGCCCCCTCCCATTTTTTCTTCTTTTGGAGGCTGGTTCTTATTACATAGCTGAGGCTAGCCTAGAATTCCTAGGCTTAAACAGTTGTCTTGAATAACTGGGACTGGAGGTATGTGCCACTGTTCCCTGCTAGAAATCGGAATTTAAACAGAACAAAACAAAAAACCCTTATTAGATTTCCCTAGTTTTATTTTTTATTATCTCAGTGGTACTAGAGCTGGAACGTACAGCCTGATACCTGCCAAGCAGGCCCTCAACTAGTGAGCCCTATCATAACCCAGATCGTGTGGTGTGTGTGTGTGTGTGTGTGTGTGTGTGTGTGTGTGTGTAGAAGACAACCTGGGAATCTGTTCTATCATGTGGGTCTTGGAGATGAAACTCTAGTCAGCACTGAGTGACAAGTTCTTTTACCCTGCTGAGCTGTTGTGTTTTTTTTTTTTTTTAAGATTTACTTATTTATTGCGTATACAGAGTTCTGCTTTCACGCATGCCTGCAGGCCAGAGGAGAGTATTAGATCTCATTATAGATGGTTGTGAGCCACTGAGTAGGTGCTGGGAATTGAACTCAGGTCCCCTGGAAGAGCAGCCAGTGCTCTTAACTTTCGAACCACCTCTCCAGCCCATATTTTTTGCTTTCTTTTGTGGGATTTTGGCTTCTTGCTTTGATGCAGGGTCATCTGTAGTTTTGGAGTGGCTATGTAGCCAAGGATGACCTTGAACTCCTGATCTCCCTTGCACGTGAGTGCCAAGAGTACAGCTGTGCACCACCATGCCCAGTCCACGCCATGCTAAGCAAGCACCCTACAGTGAGCGGCACCCCCAGCCTCTTCATTTTAACCACCGTGTGAGCCCACTGGCTTCTGCTTTAAACAGCACAGCTGTGTGGTGTATAGTGCATGAGTTCCAGCTCTGGGTGCAGACCCAAGCTCACTCATTTCTTGGCTGGCTGTGGTTCCAAACAAGTTACTTAGCCTCTCTGGAAATCAGTTTCAGCATCTATAAACTCATATTTTTGAGCTGGGCCATGGTGGTGTCTTTAATCTCAGCTCTTGGGAGGCAAAGGCAGGTGGATCTCTGAGTTTCAGGCCAGCCTGATCCACAAAATGAGTTCCAGGGCAGCCAGGGCTACCCAGAGAGGCCCTGTCTCTAGAAAGAAAAATTTATTTTTGATTGTTGATTGTGTGCAAGTGCACACATGTGCACATGCACCCGTGGAGACCAGAAGTGTACATCCACGCCCTTGGAGCTGGGCTTCACAAGCAGTTGAAAGCTGCCCAGCATGGTGCTGGGAACTGAATTTGGGACCTCTGGAAGAGCAGTGTATACTCTTGACTGCTGATTGATCTGTATAGTTCTGCTACTTGTTCTTTTTTCTCTTATGTATGAGGGTTTTGTCGCTGCCCCATGTACTTAGAGTGCTCATGGAAGCCAGAGGGACATTGAGTCCCCTGAGGTTCCGAGCTGCCTTGTGAGTGCTGGTCTCTTGGTGAGGCAGCCAGTGTTCGTAACTGCTGACCGTCTCCCCAGCTCACCAATAATAGCTCTTACCAAATTGATAGGCCCTCATGTAGTGACCACACAAGCCTTAGGCAAGGTGCCTCTGTCTTAGTTTGTTCCTGTCTAAAGTAGGATGAAGTATCCGTTTTGTCTCTTACCCAGGCTCTCTGCTCCAGCCAGTGTCTATATTGTCCTAGTTCTGATAATAATGATGCTTTCATGAATTTGAAACCATGGACCAGATTAGATGCTGCACTGTGGCTGTTTAAAATGTCCTTGTTGGTGGCATAGAAGGAAGGGTTGGTGTAGTGCCACAGGGCTGTAATTTCAGCACTTAAGATTCACACGTGGGAGAATAGCCGTCTGAAGCAAGACTGGTCATGTGGCAAGACTCAGAGAATTATAGTTCACAGCAGAATTCCCAGCTTGGGGAACTGGGCAGTAAAGAGGAGACCCTATCACGGCCTGAAGACTTCCCTCTGGTTTTCCTAAGACAGGGTTTCACTCTGGAACTTACTATGTAGCCCAAACTGGATACCACCTCACAGAGAACAGCCGGCCACTGCCTCCAGATGTGGTTAAAGGTGTGTACTGCCACATCTGGCTAAGATTCCCTGTTTTAAGGAATGCTTGTTTTTGCATCCGGAGCCCTGAGTCGGAGGCTCAGTCTGAAGGAACAGTGGTGGGACAGAGCTTAACAAAGTGGTGTGAGAGACAGGGTCCTGGGTTGGATGGGTTGTCATGGAGGGAACTTGCCAGTGTGTTTACTTGCTGGGGGACACACACATTTTGTTTCACAGAACCCTTTGATGAGAGCATTGTTTTGAGGGACTCTTGCTGTGTAGCTCCAGCTGGTTTTAACCTTGAGTGATCTTTCTCTTGAGTACTGGGATTACAGCCAGGTGTAGCACACCCCTTTAGAATGGACTTTAAATGTGAATTGAGTCTGTTCCCTGCAGCATAAGGAAGAAGTGTGTTTGCTCCGATGCCCTGGAGATTGAGGCTCTGGTACTTTGGGTGCTGCCTGCTTCAGCATCCAGTGGGTCCATCAGATCTCTCCCTTCACCTTGGTGCTACCTGGACCTTGTGTCCTGTCCACTCACACTGGAGGAGAGAATTGGGCAGAGGTGCAGAAGTCCTCAGAAAATGCCCATATGATGGGGCCTGGGAATTTTAACTCCAAGTGCTCTGTGCTCAAGGACTGCTTTGTTTTTTTTTTTTTTATTTTTTTGCAGTGGGGAGGGGGGGTCAAGACAGGGTTTCTCTGTAACAGCTCTAGCTGTCCTGAACTAGTACTGTGACCAGGCTAACCTCTGCCTCCCAAGTGCTGGGATTAAAGGCATGCACCAACACTGCCCGGCCCAGGACTGGTTTCTTGTTGAAGTCATTTGTGTATAACCAGGCCGCTTCCCCACACACCACTCCAGGATCTGGATTTCCACCCTTGGGCAAGGCCTGGGCATCTTCTCTGGGAAGTCAGTTCCAGTTTTATTGCAGTCATTTGCTTAAGTACTTGCTGGCCCCAACTGGCAGAGGCTCCCGGAAGACGCAGTGAACTACGGTGATGGGAAGCACAGTCCCACAGTGCTGCTGCTACCTCAGGGAAGGTGCAGAAGGTGCGATGAGGCCATCCTCAGGAGCCTAAAGAAAGATGAAAGGGGATGGGATGGGGGCTGCTGGAGAGATGGCTCAGCCGGTAAGAGCACTGGCTACTCTGCTAGAGGTCCTGAACCACATGGCCGTTCAAAACCATCATAATAGGATCTGATGCCCTCTTCTGACACATAGGTATACATGTAGAACACTCATACATAAAATATAAGTAAAAAAATTAAAAAGGAGGGAAGCAGGGTAAACACATAAGCCTGTAAGTCTAGCTATACAGCAAACTAAGGCTGAGAAGGTTCAGGCTAACCTAGGTAACTTAGCGAGACCCTTTCTCAAAATACAGAAGGGCTGGGAGTGTAGCTCAGAGAGTGCTTTTTACTTTTTATTTGTATGGGGGTAGGGTGTGTCTGTGCATGCCACCACCTATGTGGTCAGAGGGTATTTGGGGTCAGTTCTTCCATCATGTGAATCAGGGATAAAACACAGGTCACAGGCTTGGAGGCAAGCACCTCAGCTAAGCCACCGAACTAACCAGAAGATGCTGGTTTAGATTAGATGGATAACGTGGAAGGCCTCTTGGGAAGGTATATGAGAACAGCCTAGGATGAAATGAGACAGCGGATGGCCCGGTGTGCTGCAGGCATGGGCACACCACCAAGGTCCTTCTCGTGCTTCAGACCTTAGCACAGATGTCACCTCAGATGGCCTCTGTGTCTGCACAGAAGGAAAAGTCCTAAACCGCCAAGAAGCCTTTCAGAAACCCCGGAAAGTCCGCTTCCAGTGTGCCACGGAGTTCTGGAAACTATCTTTCCTTGTGGTTGAGTTTCCGATGCTAGGGATTGACTGAAACCATAGCCTTGTGAGTGAGGCAAAGTCAGGTGGGGTGGGTTTTTGTGGTGTGTGATGTATTTTGGGAAAGGTTTCATGAAGTCCAGGCTGGCCTCTTTCTCCTGATTGTCCTGCCTCTGCAGTGTTTGGATTAGAGACCTGCCCCACCATGTCCACCCAGGGCTCTTTTTCTACCAAATAATTACTAAGCGGGTCTATAACTGCCTCCCCTCTGTAAGACAAACGTGGGTATAGGTGTAACTCGTGTTTTCCCTAAAATTATTAGCTCTGAGTATTAACTTATTCTTTGCCGGTGTGTGTGTGTGTGTGTGTGTGTGTGTGTGTGTGTGTGTGTATGATGGGTTTCCTCCATTTAAGCAACTTTGCTCAGCACCCACCACAGAGACAATGATTAGAGACTGGGCATCTGCACATAAGTGGTTTTCTTTGCTTGGATCCTGGAATACTAAAGGGCTCCTCCCTTCCCCAACCCCCTCGTGGGGGCTACATTATCTGGGGTGGAGAGCGGGCCCCTGGTGCCTGAAGACTCATTTCCTGCCCGTTTGCCCCTCACACCTTCCTGAGCCCAAACGGGAGGCCCAGCTGCGGTCCGAGGGGGAGGGGCGCGGCCGCCCGGCAGATGGCGACATTTACATACAGCTGGGAGGCCTCTCCGAGGCGAGGCTTCTGGCCTGGCGTCTGGTGAGTCTAGTGATGCTGGATTTGGGGAAGAGAGGCTTTGTTTTGAGGCGGGGAAACACTCGTGTATGCATACGTGGGGCCTTCCACCAAGAACCCAGGATCTTTATCGTATTAACTCAGGGTTACGTCCGTGGGCCTCCCAAACACTTAGAACCTCAGGCACAGCCAGCTGAAGACGCATACATCGCCCTCACAGGTTCATAGGGTCCTCCACAGTGGACTGGACCTCACGTAATCACTTACAGGATAAAGAGGAATGCACATAGCCACATAGTAAAGTCACCTGAACTTCAGTTCTCCCGCTCGGGAAGACACAGAATCGTAGAATCCTTTACATCCTCGCGTCCGTGTTAACTCCCCACACGGTAGAGCCACATAACACACACAAAGTCAGTTCGTCTTTCTGTAGACCTTCGCTGGGCACACAGATTCCTGTCACTTTCAGATTGACGCCCGCAATCACGCTCAGGATGAACCACACAGAGTTCTTGGGTCCTTTCCCCTACGACCCTCTACTCCTCGATCCCGGGTAGCCAAGGGGCTGACTGAGGGGGCGGGGCGTCCCCTCAGATATAAGGCTCCGGGATTCAGCAGCTGCGAATCCCGAGGCTATTCCCCACCCTGTCCCCAAAAGCAATGGTCTCCCTGCAGGTGGCTCTGCTTCTCCAGACATTGATCCTGGCTCTTCTCATTCCCCAGGTCAGACTCAGCGGGATACAGAAAAGAAAGGGACAGATGGGATCGGGCAGAGACCTGAGGGTCCTAGGGAGGTTTTATGGGGCAAACAGATGCCTAGGTCTCCGAGGTCCCCTAACACTGTGGCCCTCTCCGTCCCAGGCATTGCCGGCCGGTGTCTTCGAGCTGCAGATTCTTTCTTTTGGACCGGGACCAGGCCCCGGGGCCCCGCGGTCCCCCTGCAACGCCCGAGGCCCTTGCCGCCTCTTCTTCAGGGTCTGTCTGAAGCCGGGAGCCTCCCAGGAGGCTGCCGAGTCCTTGTGCGCCCTGGGCGCTGCGCTGAGCACTCGTCCCATCTACACGGAGCAGCCCGGAGCGCCTGCTGCTGCCTTGCCGCTACCCGACGGCCTCGTCCGTGTGCCATTCCGCGATGCCTGGCCGGTGAGCCCAACCCTGATACCCAGCCCTCCACCTCCTTCTATCCCCAGCTCCCTACACCTTCTCATGCCCCACAACCTTAACTACCCCTGGAACCCACGTTCCCAGAACACTCAGCACCCATCCTTGGGAATGTCTAAAACCTGGGATTCTCATCTTTCTGTGGTTATGTATGTATGTATGTATGTATGTATGTATGTATGTATGTATTTAGTTGGGGAGGGGACACACATGTGCCACAGTGACATGTGGATATCAGAGGACAATTTGTGGGGGTCATGTCAGTTCTGTGGGACCCAGGGACTGAACTCTCATTATCTGGTGTTATCTCCTCATCCTGGCTGTCTTTGAGCTCACTGTTTCTGAGCCTGGTCTTGAATTCCGATCTTTCTGCTTCCGCCTCCACCCCCACCCCCACTTCCTGAATTATAGGCGTGCAATCAGCAAGCTGGGGTGGGGGGGTGTCTTTGTCTTTATTCTAGATCTCCTTGCATCCAGAGATTCTCCCAAGTGCTTTCTTGGGCTCCCCTAATCTCTCCTATTTTCAACATCAGTTCTTCTGGTTGGGACCCACCTCACCAGGGCCCTGTCAAAGTCCTAGGGCATCCGTACAGTCTGCAGAGCTCAGAAAGGAGCAGGCCCGTATTTGGAATTTACACAAGTTTGGGCGCTTCACTTTGTCCATCCTCGATTTCCTCACCTGTGAGGGGGAAGCCCAGTACTTTCCTTTTGTACAGGGTCTTGCTAGGTACGCCATCCTGACCGCAAACTTGAAACCCTCCTACCTCAGCCTCCCGAGCTGGGATTACAGGCTTGTGCAAACACACCTAGCTCAATGATCTTTTTGAGGGACTCAATTGGTATCTGGAATGAGGCCAAAATGTTGCTGGCTCCCTTGGCTGCTCCTTCGGGAGGCTTCCAGACTCCTTGCCGTGTTCTGGCCTTCATGAGAGACTTCTCTGACCACTAGGCTCCATTCTTCTCTCCCTTCTCCATCTAACCAGGGCACCTTCTCCCTCATCATTGAAACTTGGAGAGAGCAGCTGGGAGAGCGGGCTGGAGGTGAGTGTCTTCGATCTTGGAACTTTGGTAGGCAGGGGCAATGTGGGGTTCAGGACAGACTGCCTCTAAGGTGGAGCATTTGTGGGACTCCCGGGCCTATGATGTCATAGGGGTGTCCTGAGATATGGTGCTGGGATAGTGGCTCTAAATCTGTGGGCAGTTTGGGTATAGAAGAGTCCCAGAGAATGGCTCAATGGTTGGGGGTGCTTGTTGCTCTTCTGGAGGCTGGACTCAGCCAGTTTCCTGCATCCATGCGGTGCCTCACATCCATGGCTCTAATTCTCTAATGTTTTCTTCCTGTGCTTTTCTTTCCTATGCCACCTACACGTGTTCAGGTAAAACACGCATACACATAAACTAGATTAAAGAAATCTATTTTAAGGGTCCCAGTGGTAGCAATGGGGAGACCGTGTCCTGGTACAGGTTGAGCATCTCTGATCCAAAAACAAGACATCTAAAGTGCTCCACTATCCATTTACTTTATCTTATTTTTTGTAATGTAGTAGAAGTCCCCATATGTTAGGCATGGACTCTACCATTGAACCTTGCCCCCAGCCCCTCGCTTGTAAATTCTAAACACACTACTGCAGAGCCATCTCCTTGGCCCTGATTTTGTATTTGAAACAAATGTTTCCTGTCGCCCAGGCCGGCCTCGAAATACAGCTGAAGTGGTCTTGAATTTCTGGCACTCTCCAGCTACCTCCCAAGTGCTAGCATTACAGGAATTGCCCTACTGTTCTGGGCTTAAATTGTAATCCTTTTTTCTTGAAACGGGATCTAGAATAATGTTGACAGGCCTTACACTCGCTGTGTATCCCAGGCTGTCCTGGAATTCACCATTTTCCTGCCTCAGCCTTCTTAGTGCTGATGTTATAACCGCTTTGGGCTTGTCGCTGCCCAGCTTTCTAGATAAGATTACTCTATTGATACCAGGCCTTGGACCATCTGTCTGGTTGACCTTTTGCTGTTGGCTCTTTTTGAGAAGTCTACTGGGATTACAGGTGTGAGCAGAACCACTACAAACTGGAAGACCGTGCAGGGGCGCTATGACCTCACTTCCGGAGGCGTCCATAGATATTGATGTTACAAGATGTTAAAAGTCTCCTATTTTAATATTCAAGCATTCTGGGACAAATATAGGCGTAATTTGGTTTCTGAGAAACTTGTTATCCTGACACTAGATGAAGTGTGACATGCAGGTTCCTGGGTGCATTAGGGAAGGGGGCAGGCATGCTTACTAAGGAGAGCATCTAGCCTTCATCTTTCAACAAGGAACTCCCAGGGCTAGATAAGGAAGGATGGGGATGCCCTGAGTCCCAGTGCCCTTCGTTCTCTCCGCAGGACCCGCCTGGAACCTGCTAGCACGTGTGGCGGGCCGCAGACGCCTGGCGGCTGGGGGTCCGTGGGCCCGTGACGTGCAGCGCGCTGGTGCATGGGAGCTGCACTTCTCCTACCGCGCACGCTGCGAGCCGCCTGCTGTAGGAGCCGCCTGCGTGCGTCTGTGCCGCTCGCGCAGTGCCCCCTCGCGGTGTGCCCCGGGACTGCTCCCCTGTGCGCCTTTCCCAGAAGAGTGCGAAGCCCCACGTGAGTCCCTCTGGGTGACGTGAGTCCCTCTGGGTGGCGTGGCCCCTCTCTCCTGCCCTTTTTGTTTAAGCGAGGATTCCAGTCCCCTCCCACATCCCATCCATCTCCTTCAGGGAACTGAGAGCCCTGGATCTCAGCCTGCTCTAGCATTCACGTCTTGTTCTCTCTGATTTTCCTCTGCTTCCTGCAGCCATATGTCGAGAGGGCTGCAGCCCTGAGCACGGCTATTGTGAAGAGCCCGATGAATGCCACTGCCTAGAGGGCTGGACTGGACCCCTCTGCACTGTCCCTGTCTCCACCAGCAGCTGCCTAAACTCCAGGGTCCCAGGTCCTGCCAGCACTGGGTGCCTTTTACCTGGGCCTGGGCCCTGTGATGGGAACCCATGTGCCAACGGGGGCAGTTGTAGCGTCAGTATCTCTTTCCGACTTCATCTTGATTTACAACACCGTGTGTGTGTGTGTGTGTGTGTGTGTGTGTGTGTGTGTGTGTGTGTGCTCATTTGCACGCATGTGCACGGAGACCAGTGTCTTTATCACTCTCCACTTAATTTTTTGAGACAGGGTCTCCCACTGAGCACAGAGAGGGCCGGGCGGGCTGGACTGTCGGGCTGGTTTTCTGTCTCTACTCCTTCAGTACTACTGGGATTACAGATGTGCGCCGCCAAGCCCCCTTTTCACATGGGTGCTTGGGGTCTGACCTCAAGTCCCCATGTTGTCGCAGAAATCATTTACCTCCTGAACCATCTCCTCAGTGCCCCCTCCCAGACAGGGTCTCACTGTGTCGCCCTGGCTGGCCTGGAACTCACTTTGTGGACCTGGATGGTCTTGAACTCACAGAGATCCTAATGAGCACTGGGATTAAAGGAGTGTGCTACTACCTCTGGCAAACCTACCCCCACACCGATGTCTTTGAGATAGGTTCTAGCTATGTAACCCTGACGAGAACTTTGAGTAGCTCAGGCTGGCCCAGAACTCCTAATTTTCCTGCATTAGTCACCTTGAGTGTTAGGATTTTAGGTGCGAGTCACCATGTCTGACAGGATTAGAACTTTTTACAGATCTCCCCTCTCTGGGAGGAGGAGGCTCTGTAACATTGCAGCCTGCCAGGTTGCAATCCCAGCCAGGTAGCAGCAATCTGGGAAGCCTTCCTGGCAGTGTCCTGCCTGCATCTTAGATCTTAAAGTAGGTTAGGATATGAAAATGTTATTGAAGAGCAAAACCGGGCAGTGTAGTGTCACAAGGTGTGTGGGTGACAATAACGGAGTCCTGTGGGGCGCTGTGAGTTGAAGGTTTGGCATCGGGGCACATATGGAGGGTGGAGGCATCCTGAGGACTGACCCAAGGCTGGACCAATAGGCGGCAACTAGAGAAGGCAGGCTAGAAAAGAGCATGGAGGGAGCGAAGGAGCAGAGCTGGGAAGGCGGGTGCCGGGAGAGCAGAATTCTGCGGGCTTTCTGATGCTGACAGTGTGAGTGAGACACTGAGACTCAGATTACAGAGAAAGAATGGGAGGAGGGAGCTCAAGGAGCCTTCATTGCTGGAGATATCACCTCTAGAATTTACCGAGGAGGGGCTCGGTATCACCTCTAGAATTTACCGAGGAAGGCCTGCCTAGAATCCTCCAATAAGGAGCTGGCGGTGCGACTCAGCGAAAGTGCAATTGCCCACAGTCCACCAGTGCAGGTTTGGGGTCTTGGCTCAGGATTCGCCAAGCGCCTTTTCAACATTCAAGAGGCCCAGAGTTTAATCCAAGAAGTTTTGTGGGGAAGCTAGGACTGTAGCTCGGTGGCTGATCCTTGCTTTGCACATGGAGGGTGCTGAGTTTGGTCTTCAAGTGAGGGGCAGGAAAGACGCCTTTCTAGGGAAAGGTGTGGTGGCTCACCCTTGTAATCCCAGCAGTTGGGACTCTGAGCATCCTGAGTTCCAGGCCATCCTGGGCTCCTGTCTTTCATGGGGGAAGTGGGCATTGAGCTGATGTGTGTGTGTATGGTTGGCCAGGGAGGGTGGGTGTCGTGTGGTAGGCACAGGTCTGGTGGGAACAGCTTTCTGGGCTTCCAGAGCCTCCCGCAGTCTGAGATTCCACGTGCAGAAACAACAGTATGGAGTAGATTGAAGGGCATGCGAGCGGCACTCCTAAGGAAGTCCTGTACCCTGGGACTCGGGGCTGGACAAAGCCACCCATAGCGGCTAAGGAGAAGGAAGGGATTTGGCTCCAAGGAGCCTCCTGCCCAAAGCTAGCTTTTCCCTCTTCAGGAAACCTCCGGTTCCTTTGAATGTACCTGTCCCCGGGGATTCTATGGGCTTCGATGTGAGGTGAGCGGGGTGACATGTGCAGATGGACCCTGCTTCAATGGCGGCTTGTGTGTTGGTGGCGAAGAACCTGACTCTGCCTATGTCTGTCATTGCCCGCCTGGTTTCCAAGGCTCCAACTGTGAGAAGAGGGTGGACCGGTGTAGCCTGCAGCCATGTCAGAACGGTGAGGTGGGGAAGCCAGAGTGGCCAGCGGTGGGGGGAGGGAGGAAGATACAGAGCTGGGGAGGGGATCAGAGTGGGGTCTCTGCATGGCTCAGATGGGGTGGGAATCCTGCCTCTATGTGGCCCTAAGTCCTCGGGACCTGACCCTCCTCCCTCTACCTAGTCCATTCTATGGAACCGGCAGAATGGTCAGCTCATATATTTGTTGAGAATTTACTGTCTGTCAGGCCTTGATTTAGGCATTGAGGATGTAGCAGAGAGGGAAGCCCAAGCCCCAGCGAGTTTGGAGCTGATAGGATAGATGGATGTGCTTAGCTTGTTGTGGATCAGGAGTAAGGGCAGTGTGGTCAGAGTGGAGAGATAAGGTCAGGCACATGACAGCGGGGGGCCCTGGGGATCTCTCTCTCTCCCTTTTTTCTTTTTCTTTTCTTCTCTTTTCTCTTCTTCTTCTTCTTCTTTTTCTTCTTCTTCTTCTTCTTCTTCTTCTTCTTCTTCTTCTTTCTCTCTGTCTCTCTGTCTCTCTGTCTCTCTCTTTTGGTTTTTTGAGACAGGGTTTCCTGTGTAGCCCTAGTTGTCCTGGAACTCGCTCTGTGGAACAGGCTGGCGTCGAACTCACAGAGATCCGCTTACCTCTGCCTCCCAAATGCTGGGATTAAAGGCACCGCCCTGCAGGAAGGTGCTCTCTTGCTTTTCCTTTGAGTGAGATAGAGCCACAGGAAGATTCTAAGAGAACCCTGGTTTGACACATGTATTAAATTATTAGATGAGGCTGTGCTGGGCATAGTAGCCCATGTCTATAAATTTAGCACTCTAGAAGGCAGAGACAGCAGGAGTTCAAGATTATTCTGGGCTATATAATAAGCTCCATACAGCCTGGGCTGCATGGCCATCTCAAAAAACCAAATAAAGGGTTAAATGAGACCATGAGATGTAAACAGTCTGGTAGATATGGGTGATGCCAAAATACGGTTTGCAGTTGAGCATGGTTGCATAGTTTTGTTTTTAAATTTATTTATTATGTATACACATGCCAGAAGAGGGCATCAGACCTCATTATAGATGGTTGTGAGCCACCATATGATTGCTGGGAACTGAATTTAGGACCTCCTGAAGAACAGTCGGTGTTTTTAAGCTCTGAGCCACCTCTCCAGCCCACGTGGTTGCTTAGTTGAACACTCTGGAGTCTGAGACAAAGGATCATAAGTTCAAAGTTAGCCTGAGTTAATACTGACATCCATTGTTTCCTTTGGAATGAGTGACAGGAGGGACAATACTAGACTCTGCCCTTTGGCAAGTACTACCAGTTGCCTTCTCTCAGGGGCTCCTCTTTTGCCCACTCAGAACTCAGAGGCACCTCTGGACTGACCCGGAGGAAAGGTGAGTTTCCAGAAGGAAAGGGCCTATGAACCAATAGAGACCTGAAGGAAAAGAAGGCGGTAGAGGGGAGAAAAGGAAGGAGAGAGGACTAGGCAGAAGCAGTCATGGGCAGCTTTGCGTAGTGGCCTGCACCTGTAGCCCCCGCATTTGTTCAACTACATATTAAGACCTGTTCAAAATTTGGGACCAGTTGATTCAAAGACGTGGCTCTTGAGACCGGGAACTTTCAAAGTCTGGTCAAAGAGAGAGCAGAAGAGCCACAGGGGGCGAGAGGGGACCTGCGGATGCTGACACCGTTTTCCTGCAGGCGGCCTCTGCCTGGACCTGGGTCACGCGCTGCGCTGCCGCTGTCGCACGGGCTTCGCGGGGCCGCGCTGCGAGCACCACCTGGACGACTGCGCAGGCC